CTTGCTCTTTGAGACTAAACCTCAGGCCAGTTCGATTCACCTTGGGAGACTTCACTCGCCTGCCTGTAACATTCATACCCCATTCCCTCCCAGTCCAGCATTACCCCAGCTTCCCTCCTCCCTTTCCTAGGGTCAGGCTCTTACAGAGCTGGAGACTGGGGAAGATAAAGAAACAGGTCCACCATCTGGTGGATGGATTGCCAGCCTGTCCAACTGCAGGTCACACTGTGGACTCTGCCCATGCCCTTTGCAGACCCTAAGCTGCTGCCCTGTCAGACTTCCAGAACATGACGCCTAGACACAGGACTCTACTACCAGAAAAGTCCCTGGCTGCAGGGAAGCCCTTCATCCCTGGAAACCTAGTCACATTGTGTCTTTTATCAGGGCTTTTAAAACTTTTTCCACATGTGACCCCTTTTAACCCAAGAAATACTGACATGAACTCAGGTATATAAAAAAATACTTCTACAGATCAAATATTTACTGATTATAAATCATCAAGAAGTGCATTTTAAAGATATTCTTTGATATATATAAATTCACTATTTATTAAAGATGAAAGCAAATTTGTAGAATAATAAGACAGATAATAAATAACTTGTTAATTTTTACATGAAGAATTGCATCTTTTCTGGTTATTTGACATTATAGGACTTAGAGCATCCTTAACATCTTCCAGAATTGACTGACATTTTGATTTTATAATCGTCAGTACCGAGAACACTAGTTCACAGAAACACACAGTATAAAATGGCAGAAATATGTTTAAAGGCTTTTCAGGAATTAGAAATTCTGTCCAATCCCAAACAAAAACAGGTTTAACAATGTGTTATGAAAATGCAAGTCAGCCACTCAAACAGTAATTGTTAAGACCACATGTTCTGATGTAATACAACACAGAATATAAAGTAATTTGATACTTACACCCTGAGGAATGATGGCAGAAAAATCCTGGAAGTCTTTGCTTACCAAAATTAAACCACTGTGTCTATGAAGGCAGACAATGGTATACATAGTAAAAATACATACATACCATGCAAGAGTGTCTAACCTGAGCTAAGGTGCTGCAGGCAGTGTTTGTTGGTACTATGTGGCATATGTATAAGAGGTGTGATGTGTGTGTGCTCTGTGTTCACGGTTGCAGTAAAGTCACACTATGCAACATGGACGAGGGCTTGCAATCACTCACTATGTATCTGATTTTGAATTTATTTTCTACCCTTGAACATTCAAAAACCTTTTACCACTGCCTTTTTATTTTTTACAACTCCCACATGATGAGGTTGTTATCAACAGTCTAAGAAGTTGAGTTCTGGGATCAAAATGAATTTATCTCATTTCCTTCCAAGGTGTCCCTAAGTCCAGAAGGAATACATGCATGCATACATGCTCGCTAAGTCCAGGAGGGATACATGCACGCATGCATGTTTGCCTCTATGCATACCAGTGGGACTCCTCTGCAGCTCACCTCCCTCCACAGTCCTTTTCCTAGAGCACAAATCTGATCTCCAGGCACACACTGCCAGCAGACACTCCCTTGGAAAAATCTGATCCCCTATTATAGACTTACCAGCATCTGTGGGCAAGTCCGGTTCCATTAGCTTTGGAGGAAGGGTTCTGGGGACTTCTCCCCATGGCAGACCATCTATTCCTGTACTCAGGACACATCTAGCTTCTTGGAGGACTGAGGGAGCAGTCCGATGATCCCCTCCCTGATTGTATTTTTAAAAAAAATCTCTTTTGGGAGATGGGGTTCTAGAAATTAGAAGTTGAACCTAAGATCTTACACATGCTAGACAGTTGCCTTACCACCACAACTTTGTTTTAAAAATTCTTTGTTTGGGAGTTCTTGATGACTCTACCTTAAGTTTTGAATTATCTTGGCCACCTACAGGCATACATACAGTTGGATAGTGTCCTATTAGAGTCATAAGGAAAAAAGACTGAAAGAAAAAAAATCTATCCCCGCCGTGTATGTGTGTGCGTGCGTGTGTGTGTGTGTGTGTGTGTGTGTACTATGTATAACTTGCTTTTTTTAATTTTGCAATAAGGTGTACTGGCTAGTTTTATGTCAACTTGACACAAGCTGGAGTCATCAGAGAGAAGTTAGCCTCAGATGAGAAGATGTCTCTATGACATTGGGCTGTAAGCAAGCCTGTAGAACATTTTCTTAATTAACGATTGACGTGGCAGGACCCAACACATCGTGGGTGGTGCCACTCCTGGACTAGTGGTCCTGGGTTCTATAACAAAGCATCTGAAAAAGCCTTGAGGAGCCCGTCAGTAAGCAGCCCCCTTCCATGCCCTTACCATCAGTTCCTGCCTGCCTCCAGGTTCCTGCCCTGTTTGAGTTCCTGTCCTGACTTTCTTTAATGATGAACTGTGATGTGGACGTGTAAGTCAAATAAACCCTTTCCTCTCCAGCTTGCTTTAGTCATGGTGTTTCACCCTATAGTAATCCTGGCTAAAACACAGTCTCATTATAATCCTGACTGGCCTGGAACTCACTGCCCTCCCACTCTCAGTCTGAGTCCCCTGCCTCTGACTCCTGAATACCAGAATGAAAGGCATGCACCACCATGCCCTGCTATGTTGCATTTTTTTTCCACCACACTTTTCAATTTTAAAATTTTCCAGAGAAAATGAATAAACACTTTGATTAACAAAATAAAGAAGTGCAAAGATGAACCACCACGTCTTCGTAAAAAGGTAGAGCCAGTCACCCATTTGGAGCAGTGCAGGCTTTTCTCTCGGTCACTCGTACCAAGAGATCTTGCTAGCCTCTATCATATTACTTTACTCATAGCTGGAAGAGAGAGATAAAATTTCTACTTCAGATTTATCAAGAACTGTTATCCTTTCAGGTGAAATCTATGCTTTAAGGAGTTGATTGTCTGATTTTAGTTTACACTTGAAAGGGCTCTGGTTCTCTGTTTGGGGGATTTGTTTTACTCAATTCTTATTAGCACACAAATATTTCTAAGCCAATAACCAGTAATTATAGGACATGCTATGCTCTCAGCATTATGAAATAATCTTTTCTGAATTCCCTTATATCTGATTCACCTTTTTTTCCCCTTTGTTTCTTTAAGTCAGGGTCTTGGCTATATAGCCCAGGCTGGCCTGGAGTTCTTGACCCTCTGGCCCTTGCCTCCTGAGCACTGAAACTGTAGAGTGTAACATCATGCCTGGCCTGCTTCAACTTTTATTCAGAATTTTTAAAAATGAGCTGACATTGAAAAGTTATTTTAAAAACCTCTTTGATGTGCGTCATTAACCAGCAGGTGCCACAGGAGCTGGGGAGAAGACTTGGTGAGGGAAAGTGGTTGTTGGGAAAGCATGAGGACCTGAGTTCAAATCTTCGGCATCTACCTAAAAAGCTGGTGTGGCCCCCACAACAGCTACAGCCCCAGCACTGCCGGGCATGGGGATGGGAGGAGCCCTTCAACTTGCCACCTGCCAGTCTAACTGCGGGTTCAGTGAGAAATCTTATCTCCTGGAAGAAGGTAGAGTTGGACGCCCAGTATCCAGCTCCGGCCTCCAAGCACATGTACACAGATGGAATTATCTTTAACTAGGCATGCATTGTAATTCCTTATGTCTCCAAATTATAAAAACCCATCAGTATATTCCAAACACTTTACATGGCACTAAATAGTCAAGGAAAAGAAGAAGAAGAAGAAGAAGAAGAAGAAGAAGAAGAAGAAGAAGAACCATTTGAACACAATCTACCAGTGGTTTGTGTCTTTCCAGAGGGCAATACATTTAGGCTTAGTTTCAAATGACCTTGGAGACTCTTTAGCCAAATAACTTTAACTCTGGTTTCATTATGCAAATGCAAGATAAAACACGTCTCAGTTTATAAGTGCCGCAGTTGCTCACAGTCTCTGCTTTATGTCACTAATTTCACCTACAAATTACACACAGGTATTTTCTAGGCCACAGCTCTCTTTCTACCAGCACCTCTCCTTGAAATGGTGATCTTAGCGCATGAAGACAAAGAGAGAAGAATCCATCTTTGCCTTTAGTCTTCCATACATTTTTCCGTGTCTAGCAAGCTGTGCTCTGGGTGGCATATGCTTCCACAAGCCGCTCAGAAGGTTTAATTGAGACTTAAGCACTCCACAAATATTTGTGGAATTAAATTGAGTTTCAGTGATTACTCTGTAATTCTTAAAGCATGGAGACATTAGAAGGTTTAAAAAAAGAAGAAGAAGAAGAAGAAGAATGAAAAAAGATGGTGTTTTCACTACAAAATCTGTCCAGAGCCATCAAGGATGTCAGGTGATTGTGAGGGGCTGTTGCTGGTTATTTGGGGTTCGTTAAAGAGAAACCTTTTGATTGTTCTCCGATCGCTGCTTTTTCGAGCCTCAGATTGCTAAGCTTTCTTGGTTGGAGATAAATTCACTTCCGTAAGCCATCTGGTGGCTCCCACTTGTAACTACATCATCTGCTCAGCAGCTATGCCCAATGAATATGAGCTCCATCCTTTCCTGGCCTTTCCTTACAGGGTGTTTTTTGATGAACTGCTATCCAAGGAATGCACAGGTATTAAAATTCCTAATGGCTCTAACCCCAAGGATACTTTAAAATAAGTATTGATAAAGACTGTTCTTAGTGGAAGGAGAGGAAGCCTATGGGTGTATCCTATTCATGAAATAAGGCACACCGTACTGAACGGTTTTTATCACACCAGGAGTGTGCCTAGATGCTGCAGTTATAAAAACCAGTCTGAAGAAACCTATGCTTTCAGGAAACACAGTCCAAAGAACAAAAGCAGCTCCGTGGGTGTGAAGCCAGATGTACCACAGCAGAGACGGGAAACCCACCAGCTATGTTTCTTTCACCCCATACTCAACCCCAGCAGCTGGCTCCCCTCAGGAACAGGCGACACACACCAAAATAGAATTTCCTTTTTACAATCAGCACACAAGTCAAAGGAACTGCAGACGCGCTCTACACCTTGATGCCCCACCTTCCGCGAAACCAAGAATACTCACATCTTTGGGTGATACTTAATCCTCAAGGTCATGGTGATGCCCTTGAGCTGAGTCGTGACAGGGAAACCAAGGACTGTGTTGGTAAACAAACTCCCAGGTGCAGCCCTAACTTAGCCAAAGGTTCCTGGAGGAGAGAGGACAAGAAAGGAGACACAAGCCTGCCATAGCCACTCGGGCCCTCCCTTCACCCCTAAGGAATGGCTTGTTACCTCACAAAGAGGGAAGAGATCACTCCTGCCTGAAGAAGGCTGAGGAGGCTCTGCGAGGCTTGAAGTTTGAGGTCATTTCAGAAGAGCTGATAGACTTCCACAGCCTAGAACAAGAAGAGGATCGTTTGTTTGACAGAGGCAAACATGAGGATAAAGTAGAATGAAGCAAGACCCACTAGGTAGCTGCAGGAAACTCAGCAGGTAAGGAGAAAGCAATAAAGTCATGACAGGAGCCAGAGGCACGTGCCTGTGATGGGCAGTTTATGCCAGCCTGGGCTACGTCACAAGGTTACAAACAACAACAGAAAGTAGGCAGGGGGTTCCTCCAGGGGTTGTGTGTAACTGACATGTCCCCAGGATGCCCCACTAGTAGTGGAGCCACCGAGTGACTTTAAACTAGGACAATGATATAACGCCATAACTGTTTTGTGTTTTCAGAAGCAACACTGGCGCTGTATTGGAAGGATGCATAAGAAGACTTAGAAAGCCTGCTAGGTTGTTAGGACACTCCAGATTGGGCTTTATGAAGGAGTCCAGGTGAAGAAGCAGCACTAGGACTGTGGAGAAAATTGAGCAGAGTAACGGGTCTTTGTAACTTGGACATAAAGGACTTGACATAACTCTAGGGCTATAGCTCAGTGGTAGAATGCTTGCCTAATATGCCCGAGTTCTATTCCAGAAAGAGAATATAGAATTTTAGATGACTCCCAGATGTGTGGTCTGTCAACCAAGAGGGAGGACCTTGGAGATTCTCCAGGAGCTTTGTTCTGAGAGGGACAACAAGCTGGGGAAGCAAGCGTGTCGAGCACATCAGTGTCCCCATGGGCAGTGCTAACCCACCATGGGTGGCAGGATGTGCAGGTCTGAGACACTGCAGGGGGTCAAGGCAGAAGGTATTGACTTGGAACAGATCAAAAGCGACTTTTATGGGAAAAGAAAGTGTTCACTGGTGACCCAACCCCTGCAGTGCCCACACGGAGACGTGTGCAGTGCAGAGTCGTCGGAGGAAGAAAGGCACACACTCCTGTACAACCAATGCATTCAGACAGCCCAGCACAGAGGTGAACAGCTGAGAATCTTCTGCAGAGCCCAGAAACAACTCTGGAGCAGGGCACGTGGGAGGCTCAGGGTGGGGGCAGATCCGGAGTCACAAGGATGCTATGTAGAATTCTAAAAATAAGAATTGCCACCGGAAAAAAAAAAAGAATTGCCACCGAGTATGTCTGAATGCATGAGCATCCCCTAGCCAATCAGAGCAATTGTCATCCTCATCCTGAGCTGGCTGTCACTTCTCATCTTCATCCTTGACTAGAGCACTAAGCCCTGGCCCCAGCCAGTGCTAGGGATGCAGATGAGAAGGGGCTGGGGAGCTGCAGGTGTGGAGTTGAGAAAAATGTGCCTCTGTCTTTTTCTGGCTCTCTCAGACCACAGGGAAATCCTACTCAGTGTCTCCCTGGGGAAATAACAGCATGATTCTTCAGCTGGACCTCTATATTAAAAGGCTACCTGATTCTTTATGGGGTGAGAGGATTGTTTCTCTCTCATCAATAAGTCAATTTGTTCCCTCTCATCTTCCATCCTATTGCATTTTAGAAGGAATCCATTCCAGCTAATATGAAAATGAGAGATCAGAAATTATGAAGGATGCTTATGGAAGCCATTGTAGTGATTCACTAAATCTGTCTGTTACTTGAGGTTTCAATAATACACTTATTTTTCTGTCATTTAAATTCTCTTGACATCCATCTGCTCATGGAACCAAGCACAACATCTTAGCATTATACAGGATATGCTAATAGCAGGAGACTAAGCCCTCTATTAATGTTAAAAGCTCTATGTCGCTTTCAGAGAATCAGTAGGGACTGTCCTAAAGGGTGGGATAATACCCATATAAGAATAGTATTGGCATGAATCTGATCCCTGGGGGGGGGAATCTCAGCCCACTAGGTCAATTGTGGTTCATTTTTACACACCACACCACACCCCCACACACACATACAGACACAAATACATACATGTCTAATCTAACCTTAGATGGAAGGATAAACAAAAATAGAAACTTCCCAAATAATATCAAACTCACATCTGCTTTGTTTTTTAAAACAGCATCTCAGATGACCCAGGCTGGCCACCAACTTGCTATATAGTCCAGACTGGCCTTGAACTCTGGTCTTCTTGCATCAGCCAACCAAGCACTGTTGTGAGCCATCGTGCCCAACTCCAGATATGACCAATTTCTTGCAATAAAATATTTGAGTCTAGGGCCAGAGAGATGGCCCCATAGATCAAGGCCCTTAAGTAGGCCATGGTAGTACCTTCGGCACTTAAGATTGATAATGGACCTGCCTATGCCTCTCAACAATCCAATAACTTTCTGTGGTTCTGGAAAATTTACCATACCATTGGCATCCCCTGCCATCTTCAGGGACAAGTCATTGTAGAGAGGACAACAGATCTCTTAAGGAGCTGTTGGCCAGGACTGACTCTTCAGAGGCCAGGAGAGACCCTCATCTGGTCTTAGCAGAGGTCCTTTTCCACATGAACTTTCTCAGTTTTGATGACAAGGAGTTCAGCCCAGCTTACAAGAACTGGGCATCTCTGCCAAGGAACACACCCCTGCCCCTGGTGAGAGGGAGAGATTCTATCTCCCTCCAATGGCAGCCATCAGCCCCCCCGATAACCTATGGGAGAGGGTATGCTTATGTTTTTCCTCAGACTGCCATGACACCAATATGGGTCCCGGTACGGGATGTGCACCTGGCCACGGATCAGCCTGTTTCCACCAAGGAGAGAATAACCCAAGAGGAGTAATGTATATACTCCCCTTTCTTGCTTTCACTGCCCACTCCAAACAAATTGATTTATCAAGAGTTATGGCCTTTGACTCTTCATTTTTTAAAAAACTTTGGCATAACATAAAAAGGCTATTTGATCCCTCCTGGATGCTCACGTATTCATAAATCGGCAGGATGGTATTGTTAATCCTTATTCTGTTTAAATGTCTCCTGTAGCATATCCAGTAGGTAGCAACTAAAGCAGCTCTTCAGGTGTTAATGACTCTTAGACATCTTTCTCACAGTCCTCTGCAGGAGGTTATGCATGCCTTGCTATCTGTAATGCAAAAGGCTACTGCCTAGTCCCCACCATGCTGGCACCTCTCCAGGAATGAATGCTCTTTGAGGGCTGGAAAACAATGATGAGTAAGAACTTATTTGGCAGGCCAATTTAAGACAGGCACAGTCCAGTTGCTGAGCCCTCCTGAGGTGGGGTCAACAAGACCTGAGCAAAGAACTCTGGTTCCCACTGGGCACCCATGTAATAAATAAAAAAAAAAGGGTGGATATGTAGGAAGTCAAGGCCCACCAGGCCAAGAGGAGCTAACTTGGAGTCTGCCTGGAGCTGTCAAAGGTCCTGATCATGCCTAGCCAGTGAGGGGCAACCACACAACGTCAACAACACAGACACTACTGGGAATTTTGTGAAAGGGATACAGCTGACTCTTCTTTAGCAGTGAGGAAAATCTTATATACCCTCCCAACACCCAGGCATTCTGTTCCATTGACATTGTGTAGTCACCCCTCATTGGCTAAGCCTGATCAAGACCTCTGACAGCACCTGTTGCTAGGCAGGCCCTCCTTAGCATCATGTGGTTGTCCCTCAGTGGCTAGGAACAATCAGGACGTTGGACAGCACCAGACATACTACAAGTGGCTCCTATTGGCTTGGTAGACCTTTAACTTCCTACATGTGTTTACACTTCCTAAGCCTAATGACCTGAGTTTGATTTCTGGAACCCACATGGCAGAAGGAGAGAAGTGATTCTTGCAAGTTGTCCTTTGACTTCTGTATGTATACTGTGGCACGTGTATTCCCACACACAAGATAAGTAATTAAACAAGAAACAAGCTTTTTAATATTTGGCAACTAACAAATTATTTTTCAACATTATTTTGGTTTTTCTTCCCTAATCTTGATACATCTGAAATGAATTTCTCAATTTTTTGACAGAGTCTTAGTGTGTATCTCTGGGTGGCCTGGACCTCATCAAGCAGACCAGGCTAGCCTCAAATTCACAGACATCTATTTGCCTCTACCTCTCCCACATGCTGGAATTAAAGGCATGTGCCCACACACCTGGCTGGAATTTGTTAGTATTCCTAAAAGTCCTCTTGTGGGTTGATTGGGATCATTTCCTACCTGTGTGTAGGCTGTGGATTCCCCAATTATCAATGACTTTTGTTCTTTCTCTTTTTTTTCTTGCTTGGGTGAATTTTAGCATTTTCTTTATGCAGCTCTACATTTGACTGACGTGCGTTCATTATTATTTCACTGCACTTAAAATGTGCCCAAAAGAACATGTTAGAGTGTCGTGTTTACTGGAACACTTAAGAAGTAGAATTATTTCTATGATGGCATTTTTAAATCACAGGATACAGCGGTCACCTTTTGTTGTGAAGAACATAAACCATATTTTAGTTGCTTTATGGAAAGACTCAGAAAATCTTAATGCAACCACAGCAAATGTAACTTTTTGTAGCGCACAGCCTTTCAGATCAATCCAATTTCCTTCTTGAGCAAGGTAGCGGACTACTAGACAAGGGCAAAGAATTTGGTAGGAAATAGCAGGATTTCGGGAACCCTTTATTTTGATGGAAGCGGTTCTGTTGCAGAGAACACTGCACGTGGTCTGAGACTACCTACATTGCTGTGGAAGGACCACCTGCGAAGAGTATAACTTCTTTAATTCTGGCTTATTTTAATTAGGAGAAAAGTAGTCTTCAGCGAATATGCACTTTATAGAACTCAGATGGTAGTTTATAAACTCTATCATTGGTATGTGTGAGCATGCGCACATGTTCGCATGTAGAAGTCAGAGGACAACGTTATAGTCAGTTTTTTCCTTGCATCCTTATGCACATTCCAGAGGTCAAACGCAATCTTCAGATTTGTGTGGCAAGCACCTTTTCATGAAACTACCTCCACGGGGTAACTATGTTCTCTGGGCTCTGATCATTCAAGTTTGCCTCCAAAATAAACTACCTCTGATTCCCTTTGCAGTGAGAGCTGAGGTTTGTGGGTTTTGTTTTTTGCATCAACACTATAGAACATGTGTATTCAGAAGAAGATGCAAATGTGAGGCCTCTTTTCAGACATGATTAAGGATTTTAAGATAGCGACACTAAATAAATCAGTGCTGGGCCCCATATGGCTATATTCACTGCACCCTCATGATGAAGCTGGCCCTGTATTTGCCCAACAGAAATGAAGACATGTGTTACTCCAAGACACAGGTGTGAATGTTCACATAACCTGAAGGTCTCTATTCCCTAATCCTCATCCTTTGAAGCCTTCCCCATCCTGCCCCTAGAGGTGGTGGTTTTAGAAGATAAGGCTTTGGACATATGACTAGGCCATAAAGAGAAACTCTAATGAACAGGGTAAGCGCTCTTAGGAAGGAGACATCAGAGCACTGGTTAATCCCTTGCACAATTTTCTCAGTATCTTAGAAATGAATGGGGCTGCCCAATCCCCTAGATACGTCACAGGTCAGCATGCAAGGTCCTCCACTGCCAGAGCAATGCCAAGGCTATTTCCCAGCATCCCAGAATAGTATCTGGTAGACTGTGATGGTCTCTCCTCCAGAAGGGTGGAAGTTATGACACCATAATAGAATTTGTGTGGCTCATGCTTGCCCTCCCAACCATAATAATAACTCAATAACAAAGCCTTGCCTGGTGCCACTGGCTTGGTCTCAGACTTCCCAATCTCTAAAACCATGAACCAGCAAATCTTCACGTATTCTAAACTGCCACTCTTTGGTATTCGGTTATAGCAGCGTGAAATAGCCCTGCTACTATCCCTCCCTGACTGTCTCCAGGCCTACCTCCCAACAGGCTGGGACCAGATGGGACTGGGGGGATTTTAGAGCATCAGTTCCCTCGAACGAAGAGAAAGGACATCCTGTTTGCTTGTGGATGCTTTAAGTTCCTTCAAGGAGAATCACAGCATTTTATTTCCAGACGTCTAGAGTGGATCATGAATTAACCAAATTCCTTCACCTTATAGAACATCAACAATTCTAAGTGATTCCTCCTATTTCTGGCTGAAGGAGGAAATCAGAAAAGAGTGAAAAAGCATGCTTTTGTGGAGCATGCCAAGTCCTAGTTCAGCCATGAAGACAGAGCGCACCAAGACTCTCAGAATAGGAGCAAGATAAGGAGCCCCAGAAATCTCACTTCCATGAGATTTGAGATCACAGGCCTTCCTATCTCCATGTTCCAACCATGGCCCAGTGGGTCCCAATGGTACAGGCGTAGAGAACCCCAAGCTCCCTGCAGTTTCCTCCATGGCTTCCCGGACTATAGAACTGCATTTGTTGAAGTTGCAGCAAGGTTTGTGTGGCTCTCCAAACTCCTAGGAAAAGAAGGCTGATTCTGTACATACACACAACCGTATGGACCCTGTCTTCCTATATCTGTCACACCCCATGTTACTCCTAAGACTTGCTGCCATACTCCACCTTTTGAAGAGAAAGAGGTGTATAGCTGCGCTGGGTGTGGTTGGTACCCTTGCAAGTTTGGTTCTTAGTACAGTGATGCTGGAAGGTGGGATATCTTAAAAAGGTAGGACCTAAGGCCAAGTAATTAGGCTATTGTCAGTGCTACTCTCAGAAGAGGATACTGTGCTCACAGGGGCCCCTATGAGAAGGGTTGTTATGGGAGAACTCCTCCATGATTTCCTGTCTTACCCTGCGGTCCCTCTTTCTTATGCTGCCATCTTTACTCATTTCACCAGGGGATTAACAAAGGCAGCCACCCAGCCTGGACTTTTCAGCCTCCAAACTGTGAGTTAAATAAATCCTTTTTCTTTATAGCATTATCCATACTCTGGTATTTCGTTACAGCAACAGAGAATAGAATTACACAAGAACTAACATGAGTTGAATACCTTCTGTGTGCCAAAGAGGACTGTACCTAAAATGCCCTAATTTCTCTCTCTTTATAACACTGTAACATTGACATTGTTGTCTTCCTCACCAGCCTGATGGATTCTTCCAAATGCAGGATGTAAATATCCCGGCAGAGCACTTTGCAAATAAATATAGACCATTAGAGGCAAAAGCACCCACATGCCAAAGTACCTGCCATGGCTTGACTTTTGCCCCCAACACAATATGTGAAAATCCTACCCTCAATCATAACCTTTGAAAGTAGAGTTCTGGCAGATTGACCCTCTATGTTCCCACAGCACCCCGAGCAACCATCTACAGTCAGCTTCTGTCATCTACTGTCTGCTGAGAACAAAGACCCAGGCATGAACTGTGGGTGGTCTTTTTTAATCATCACGCCTTATGGATTGTAGAATCCCAAATACACGGGGTCTGTCAAGCTGCAAGATTCACGTGTGAGAACTAACTAGCACAGCCCCAGCTGTCTTAAAGCTTAATGACAAGTTCAAGAACACCCCAGAATAACCCTCTTCATACTCTTGTCAGCCAGAGTAGCACCGTGGCTCCAAGGAGATTCTGTGCATGTGTTCTGTGTTTTACAGCGCCAGCCCTAATAGAGAGACTGCAGAGCTAGCCCTGCTCATGTCTTCACAGTTTATTATGCGGAAAAACACGAGCCTTCTGTTTTCCTGCATTGTTAACTTGGCACCTCATTTCACGTATGGGACTTGCATTAAAAGACACTACCCTCTGGGAGTTAATCAGCCATTTAAAGAGTAAAAGTACTTTACAATCTGAAGGCTCTTGGAGCTCATCTTCTGTGACGAATGATGCTATAGGCCAGGTGTGCAGAAATACTTCCGTGCTGGGTGCCTGATCTTTCAACTCTCCCTCAAACAAGACAATGATGCTGGTGAAGATCCCCTTCAAAGATGCTGAGAGCCCAAAGCTCAAGTGACACGCTCAGGGTCATAGGGATGGTAACAGAACAGAACCCCATCTCTCGGACTCAAATCAGGATATTTTGTACCTAATTCATTCACACATTCTTTCATTGTAGTTGACAGTAATCGTTATATGCGTTGCATACAGCATGATGGTTTGAAATATGGAAACATCGTGGAATAGCTAAATCAGGCTAATTAGCATATGCATTATCTCACATTTTAAACTTTTGTAATGAGAACATACAAAAAAGTCAAGGGTTTTTAAGGAACTCCTTTTCAAAGTCTCCAAGCAATAAAATTTTAAAGAAAATAACATTTTGCTCCACAAAATACTTAGAATTATTATTATTATTATTATTATTATTGTGTTGTTATTGCTGTTTTCAATTCTTTGAAAATCTCACACATGTATACACTCTCAGCTCTGAGTGATGTTCTTCATAGACAGCCTATGGAAGGTTACACAGTGACTGATGCCCATCCATTTAGGGATGCCTCTTTGAAGATGCAGGTCTTCAGAACAGGACCAAGGAACCATCTCTCCATCACTGCCTCTAATGGCAGCTCCTCACCTTTGAAACAGATGATCAAACTGAGCATTGGTGTGTCTTCATCTCTGTTCTATTGCTGTGAAGAGACATCATGACCAAGACAACTCTTATAAAAGAAAGCATTTAATTGGGGGCTGGCTTACTGTTTCAGAGGTTTAGTCCATTCTCGTCATTGCACTGGTGCAGTAGCTAAGAATACGATATCCTGATCCACAGACTGAGAGTAAGAAAGAGAGAAAACACCGGCTTGGGTGTGGGCTTTTGAAAACCTCAAAGTCCACCCCAAGTGACATACTTTTTCCCACAAGGCCACCCCTCCTAATCCTTCTAATCAAGTTCCACTCCCTGATGACCAAAGGCCTTAGTTAGGGTTTCTATTGCTATGATGAAACACCATGACCAAAAATCAAGTTAGGGAAGACAGGGTTTATTTGGCTTATACTTCCATATCACTGTTTATCATGAAAGGAAGTCAGGATAGGAACTCAAACAGGGTAGGATCCTGGAGGCAGGAACTGATGCCGCTTACTGGCTTGCTCCTCATGGTTTGCTCTACCTACTTTTTTGTAGAACCCAAGACTACACCCACAATGGGCTGGGCCGTCCTTTATCAATCACTAATTGAGAAAATGTCTTACAGACCTGCCTACAGCCTGATGTTACGGACACATTTTCTTAATTGAGGTTCTCTCTTCTCCGACGACTGTAGCTCGTGCCAAGTTGACGTAAAACTAGTCAGCACATTAAGCATTCAAATATATGAACCTATGAGGTCCATTTATATTCAAACCACACATAGTGCAATGAACAGTGCCTGTAAGGACATAGCTCTTCTGTATGAGTTGTCAGTCAGATTTGGAACCACCAGAACGGATCTGAAACCTGCCCCTCCCCTTGCCAGTTGACCTTGAGTGACTGCTCTGAGCCTGTCTTCTGCTTTCTAAGATGAGACCATCACCTGTCTCATAGGGAGCTGTTGCAATCTGAATATGTCACGTTCCACTGGAGGTTCAAGTGTTTGCACATTTGGTCCTCAGCTGGTGGCAATGTTTCAGGTTGTGGAATCTTTGGAGACAGAACCTTGCTAGAAGAAATGGGACACTGGGAGTGGGTCACACTCGACTTCCTGTCTCTCTTTTCCGCTTCCAGGTGTCACCATAGCTAAGAGACATCTCTGCTGACAAGCTTGAATAATGAACTGCACCTTCAAATCACGGGCCAGGATAAGCCCTTACCTCCTTGCTTCTTGTCAGATATTTGGTTACAGCCACAAGGAAAGTAAGTAATACAAGTGCTCTAAGAATCAATCTGAGGTTATATACATGGCGTTTACATAGGGTCAGGGCATAACAAATCATGATCATCATTTTTGATTAAACCAGTCTGCCCCCAAAATGTCATAAATAATAATACTAGCACCATTGATCATACAACTTCAAAAACACTCATTCCCCAGATCCCCAACCATAGCTCAGTTGGTAGAGTGCTTGCCTAGCATGCATGAAGCCCTGCCAGGTTCTGTCCCTGGTACCATATAAACTAGGTGTAATGGTGCACCCTGTCACGTCAAGCACTCCAGAGGTGAAGACAGGAGGATCAGAAGTTCAAGGACATCCTCAGCTACACATCAATTTTGAGACCAGGGTAGGTTCCAAAAGCATAGGCATCCATACATTACACTCTGGTACCTGTTAGATGAGTTCATGGCCCAAGACAGGCTTCAGTGTCTCTTGCATTCTCCAAGGCTAACTGCATTCCAGATCCGTCCCAATGGCACACAGCAAAGTCAGTCCTTACAATATTGCAGGAAGGAAATAATGCTGTCCTGAAGACTTTTTCATTACTAGTCTATTAATTACTGCTCCGTAGAGTAGGTTTCCAGAAAGAGGGGGTTAACAAAAATTGTACGCATATCTTGAAAAAGAACCAGCCAGTAATCATTAAGAGCCTCTTCCCCTCTGCAGAGCTGACACTACAGGAGAGAAATTGCTTGGATATTTATTGCAGTTTTACACAGTCAACTGGCTGACTAGGATTCATATCCTAAGAGAATTTTTTTCATGATATATATTTCTTTTTCATTATGCTAGCAATATCTGTTCCTTGTAGAAAAACTAGAAATTGCTGACAAGCAAAAAATAATACTTAAATCACACACAATTCAACCACCCAGAGATAAACACTGCTAATATTTTTGGTGAACATTCCTTTAAATGACATTGTGTATTTATCTATTTTTGTACAAACAGAATCACATTATACATGCAACATTACAACATGGTTTATTGACTGAGCAATACCAGTGACATCTCTCTGTGTCGATAAATGTTCTTGCAGAGCACTGTTTTCCTCCAATGATGCATAGCAGTCTACTTTTAAAAAAAAAATCAGCACGTTTAAACAATCCTGAACTATCGAACCTTCAAGTCACTTCAGAATCATGTTTTGGGTACTATGAGGGCACCTGGAAAGAGTATGTTTAGGAAGAAGACAAGCAAGAACCAGATGCACAGCAGGCTCTTGGGATGAAAGAGACCTTCAAGGACAAGAAAAGAACAACCCAAAGGCATACGAGGAAAGGATGGTGGTTAGGCAAAGGACAAGGGAGAAGAAGATGCTGCACAGAGGGAATAAGATAAGACAGTTGTAGAAGAGTGTGTGGTCTGGTACTTATTCTCCCAAATACTGTACTTTGCTCTTGAAATTTTAAGAGGGTATAGAGCTGGGGAGATGGCTCAATCATAGAGTGCTTGAAGATCTGAGTTCAAATCCCCAACACCACATAAAAAGTCAGGTGAGTGGTATACCTGCAATCCCAGTGCTAGGAGGTAAAGACAGTCAGATCCTCTGAGTCCCCTGGCCAGCAAGACTAGACACACACACACACACACACACACACACACACACCACAAGAATGAAGAGGCCAGATATGGTGGTGTAACCTCAGTCCTTAGAAGGCAGAGGCTGGCAGATCCTCCAAGTCCCCTGACTAGCAAGATTAGACATACACACACACACACACACACACACACACACACACACACACACACCACAAGAATAAAGAGGCCAGGATAATGGTGCACACCTTTAACCACAGCCCTTAGAAGGCAGAGGCTAGCAGATCTCTAGATAGATACAAGGCCAGCCTAGTCTACATACCGAGTTCCAGGCCAGTCAGGACTACACAGTGAGATCCTGTCTCAAAAATAAAAACAACAAGAATTAACAGAAATGGTTGGAGGAGAGCTATTCACAAAGAAAGGAGGGACTTTTGACCCCCAAAGTAGATCCATTTGCTAATGGATATCTCAAAAAGTTGTTATGTTCCCACTGCCACCCACATGAGTCACAACCGCCACTGAGCCACTTTACCCAGCCCATAAACACCAGGCTATGTACACTTTTACAGAAACTATACACCCACTGCACAGCACGCCCACACCATCCCCCCACCCCCAGTTCAGCCTGAAGCTACTTTCTGGAAGCCTGACATGCCAACCAAATACCATTGATCTGTCTCCATTTGGAAGAGAGAGAAAGAAACTGGAGCCGGAGACAGTCTCTCTAGGTCTAGCTTGGGCAACCGGGTAGACAGACGTGATTTCACCTCCTTCTTTTCCTGTGTGTCCCACAAGGTCATTTGCTTTTTGGTTTCAAAGTCCTCCCAGCCACTCTGTAACAGTGCAGAATTCATTCTACCTACCTTGAGCCTCAAACACATCAACACCATTTTTTTCATTATTGTTCTTCTGATTTCTTCCCACTTGTTTTTCACAAACCCAATAAAGTGGGAGGTGCTGGGGAGGTAAATGCTTTCCGGTGTGGAAGGGTTATTGTCAGCTCATTTTCTGTACGGCCCTGCGTGTCTTCTGGTGGCATGGTGGCCTCTGGGGCTCCAAGTGCAACCTTCAGCTCTCTCATCCCGAAGAAGGCTTGATGGTTGTGCCCTGTCTCACACCCCTCCCTCTTCACCCTTGCCCCCTTCCTTCACTGCAGCCAGAGTTAAAGCTGCCACCCACTGCCTTGTGAGTCTTAACTACGTATTCTCTGATGCCTTCTTGCAGGTGTGGGTTCCTTCATACTGTCGGTGGCAGGATGTTTGCTCAGTTCTGAGGTCATCGACTTGCCCCTGGTAACATGAATACAAATGCTTGAATCACCTGTATTTGAAAACCCCAGCTTAATGCAGGTCAAACTGCTCCTCAGTGTGATGAGGCCTGCAAGATTAACAGAAAGGGGTCACGTGTTGATGGATGCCTTATGAGAAACATCTTATGGAAATTAAACCGCAAGAAAGCTTTCCACATGGCTTCCCAAGCGTGGCCTGGTGTGAGTCCATCAGACCACCAAGCAGGAGCCCATTCATCGCCGTCTCCCTTACAGTCTGCACAGCATACTCTGGAACACCTGTTTTCTCTCTCTTTGTATGGGCATGTATGTGTAAAGGTGTGTTCATGCATGTGTTTGGGTATGCAAGCAGACGTGTGCACAAGCATGTGAAGGCCAGAGGCTGACATGGGTAGTGTGGGATGGCCTTCTGTCTATGTGTTGCTTTTATTGGTTAATGAATAAAGAACTGCTTTGAGCCTATGGCAAGGGCAGAATAGAACTAGGCGGGAAAATTAGGCTGAATGCTGGGAGAAAGAGGGTGGAGTCAGAGAGAAACCATGGAGCCGGAGTCAAATGCTGGGAACTTTATCTGGTAAGCCACAGCCATGTGGCGATATACAGATTAATAGAAATGGGTTAAATTAATATAAGAGCTAGCCAATAAGAAGGTAGAGCTAATGGGCCAATCAGTGATTTAATTAATACAGTTTCTGTGTTATTATTTCTGGTCTAAGCTAGCCAGGTAGCCGGGAACCAACAAGTGGCCTTCCTCCAACACACAGTGTCTCCCTTGGGCATCTCTCCACTTTGTTTGTTCAGTGAGTCTCGCACTGAACCTGGAGCTCACCAATTTCACCAGGCTGGCTGAATGGCAAGCCCTACAGAGCCTTCTCTCTGGCCCTCCAGCACGGATTTCAGGCACATGCTACCACACCCGGGTTTTTATGTGCGTGTTCTGGGTCCAAGACCCTGATGCTTGCATGGAAAACACTGGCTGACTAAGCCATGTCCGCAGAACCCAGCCACCCCTTCTGTCTTTTGAGACAGGATCTAGTTATATCGTCCAAGTTGGCCTCAAACTCATGATCCTCCCACCTCTGTCTCCTGGGCGATAGATTTACTGGCCTATCATGCCACCCTTAGTGTCTGCTAACAGATCTCATATGGTCAACAGTTAGACACCATGCCATATAATGTGTAGCAGGTCTTACAACAAAGAATCTAAACATAAAAGCCCCTGGGAAACTGTTTGGCATAACTCTTGTTGGGCAACAACCGGTAAAATTTGGTATCAAAGACTCAGTCGAGGATCGTCACACCTTTGACAGCCTTTCATGAACGTCAAAGACTTCTCCTAATGACTCAAAGTGCTGGAGTCCCATCGCAAAACTGAAGGGAAGAGCAAGCTCGAAAATTAAAGGGAGTCCTTAAGTTGCATCTGTTTAGTGCTATTAAACTTGCTGTAATGAGGCCCAGTCCTGCCGTTCTCCTGTGTGTGCATGCTCTAGAGGCTGTAGTTTCTTATAAATATTTTACTAGGAAAAAAAAAAGTGCAAAACGAATGAGATGTGGAATGTCACGGTGTGCTTCCAGATGAAACCAGACAATGACACGCAATTCTGCCAGCGAAAGTACAATCCACATGAGAGCAAGGCTGGGGAAAACAAATGAAGTGTTGGTATCTGTACCAGGAGGAACGAGGGGCTGGAAATACAGCTCAAGGGTAATGCATTGCCTGGCATGCTGGAAGCCAGAGGGGAGAGGTACGGAGAGACACTTGGCTATGGTAGCTTGAACCTTTACTTGAGAATAATGTCGGATGCAGCCTTAACACTGCAACAAAAGTCAGCACAAAACCAATTCTTCTATATCCAAAATACTGTCATGAAACCAAGATCTAAATGATTGGCAGGGTACTGAATGATTGGGCAGGGTACTGAATGTTGAATGTGTTCTAATAAGTCTATTGAAGGGCTGGAAAGATGGCTCACAAGTAATGGTGCTTACCAGCAAGTCTGGCATCCTGAATTCAATTCCTGGGGCATCCACAGTAGAAAGAGAGAACAAATTTTCACAAGTTGTCCTCTGACCTTCATATAAGCCCTGTATTGTGTTTTGTGTGCATGGGTGTATACGCAAACACACATACATACGCACACAGACATAAAAATTTTAATGTTCATTTCTTACTTTCAGAATGACATCTTCTATTCTCTGAGAATTTGTTATCATTCACATTTTAAATGATTTTTTGAAATTTATTTAGCACTAAATGTACTTCCAGAATTTTTACTATCAAATATTTATGTTGATATTAGATTAATATAAACCAGGTATTTATTACAACATGGCATGAATTATTTTCCATAAAAAGTCTTTGGATAGTTGAATCATCACACCATATGCCAATGAGTGTTTTATACCCACTCATTGTGACCTTTGGACTAATAAGTATGTGGGATGCTATAAAGCCAGGAAAAAGTTATGACGAGAAATTTCTGATGATTCTTAGAGATTTCAACTTCTCATCTTAATTCTTGAATATTCCTATCTATCTACAGTTTGGAAACATGAATTTCTTCCCCCTCAAAACATCAGAAAGCTCACATCCACAGTCCTGCTCAGTAGTCAGCAGGTCTTCATCACATGTGGGTAAACAAAGCCTGTTCTTTCCAGGAAAGCATGGAGGGAGTAAGAGGCAGAGAGAAAAATAAGGTAATAGAATATGTGTGTCGTGAACACAAATAGGGACTAGCAGGGAAGGAAGAGTCCATCGAGAAAAGGCAGGGAGGGTAGTTGCGGGGAGGGGGTGGTGGTAGTGAAAGCAAAACTCTTGGGAAACACCACAGTAGACCCATGATTTTGTATGATAACTTTAAAAATTAAGCTTCAAACCAAGGTGGTGGTGGTGGCACACGCCTTTAATCCTAGCACTCAGGAGGTAGAGGCAGGCAGATCTGAGTTTGAGGCCAACCTAGTCTACAGAGTGAGTTCCAGGACAACCAGGGCTAAACAGAGAATATCCTGTCACAAAAAAGCAAAATAAAATAATTTTAAAAATAGCATTCGCCTCTTTCTGCTGCGCAAATATATCGCCACTTCTCTAAATTAGACCAAAACTTCCATAATGAATAAGAATTCATCTTAGTCTGGATTCACAGACACAGAGCCTAAGAAAGGACTGAGTCCTAACGTTCCACCAGGCAGATGGAGCTTTGGCGGTGGTTCTCAACCTCTGGGTCCTGACTCCCCTGGAGGGGGACGGTCACATATCACATATCACATATCCTGTATATCAGATATTTACACTGTGATTAGCAACAGCACCAAAGTTGCAGTTATGAAGTAGTGATGAAATAATGTTATGGCTGGGGGTCCCCACACCGTGAGGAACCGTGCTAAAGGGTTGCAGCATTAGAAAGGTTGAGAACCCTGGTCCGGTGAGTTATTAGCAAGAGAAAACGGAAGTGTAACCAGGAGGAGTGGGAAGCCTTACCGGAAACCACACTGTATAGGGCTGGCCCACTTCACAACAGGTTAAATTATCAAACACACCCAGGGGCTACCCAACTCTTATTTATTTATTTATTTTTAATCCTTCAGTTTTATTTCCTTATTGGAAACACTGCTCTCTGAACCGATAGCCTTTCTGTTCTAACTTGAATTGTTCACTGAGCTTGAAGACCAGCGGATACCCTGGCACTATCTTAACCCACGATCTTTGAGAAACCTTTAATTTTCTTTTGTTTGCTTTCTCTCTTAAAAAGAAATATAGCCAGGCAGTGGGACACATTTCTTTAATCCCAGCACTTGAGAGGCAGAGGCAGATCTCTAAAGCCATCCAGATCTACAGAGAGAGTTCCAGGATAGTCAGGGCTACTCAGAGAAAACCTGTTTTGAAAAACCAAAATTAAATAAACAAATAAATGAATAGAAATGTGAAAGTGTACATGCATCATGCAAAGCAAGAGCTTCATGGTTTTGTCCATATACATTATGAATTTTGCTTTTTTTCTTTTCTTTTCTTTTTATATCTTTTTCACTATTTAAAACAATGTTAAATTTAAATATATTTTGATCACATTCCTCCCCTCCCCCAAGTCCTTCCAAATCCTCTCTTCCTCCCTATCCACCCAACGTTTAAGTTCTTTCTCAAAAACCAAACAAAACTCCCAATACAACAAAACTCCAGAACCCAAGAAAACAAAATAAAACCACACCCCAAAAGAAACCAACAACAACCAAAAGAACAAAGCTATGGCATCCTTTATATGTTGGTCGATTCCTCCTGAACATGAGGCCTGTCCTGGAGTGGTTGGTGTACCCAGTGTCATTCATTGGAGAAAACTAAGTTCACCTCTCCCAGGAACTATAAATGACAGTTCCGTTGTTAACCTTCACCCTCATGGCTAGGTTTTCATTCATTCATTCATTTTTTTAATATCACAAAATAAAGTATAATAAGTTAAAACAAACACTATCACATTGAAGTTGGACAAAGGCCACCCAATAGAAGGAAAGGAGCCCAGGCACAGTTATCACAGACCCACTCAACCACACACTCAGGAATTCCATACACACACTAAACTGGAAGCCATAATAGAAGCACAGAGGACCTGGTACAGAACCATGTAGACCCTGTGCATGCTGTTTCAGTCTCTAAATTCATGAGCTTCCATCATGCTGATTTAGAGGTCCTTGGGTTTTGTTTTGATGTCCTTCATCCCCTCTGACTATTACACTCTTTCTGCCTCCTCTGCCGGAGGGATTCCCTGAGCTCTAAGGGGAAGAATTTGATAAAGACATCCCATTCAAGGTTGACTGTTCCAAGGTCTCCTGCTCTCTACTAGTGCCTGGCAGTGGGTCTATGTATTTGTTCCCGTCTGCTGCAGGAGGAAGCTTCTCTGATGATAACTGGATAAGGCACTGATCTATGAGTTTAGCAGAATATCATTAGGAGTCATTTTATCACTACACTTTTTTTCTTTTTTTAAGACCAGTATCATTTGGTTTCACCCTAGATCCCTGAGCTATCTAGTCTCAGGTTCTTGAGGTCACATCCCTGGTTAGTTTCTGTAAACTGACTTGGAACCAGCCATGGAAAAGACTGAGGGTAGAATTACCTAGCTGCCTCCTCCCCATATCCAAAGTTCTTAAGATACAGCTTGAGCAACCTTCTCAAGACTTAGG